ATTTTGGGAAGGTGGAGAAAAAGTTAGTACAGTGTTACAGTGCTGTACTGTAACTTTCGAGCATCCTACTGTAAACATATGTCCTGTCCTTCTTAACCACTTGCCCCACCTGTTTCACACTATGGGGTTGCCTTTATCATTCCTGAGATTCTTACCCCTGCTGTAAACAAAAAGTGATACCATATCATGGTGAGGCCAGCACTTCTGAACTCATTTCCACATGAGAATTAAATCATATTATCAAGTTTTTAAATTACAATTTCGAATAGATAAAAGGGCTGACCCTTTTTCTTTAATGATTCCACAAAAAATGTATGTATTTTATATCATTAAATGCAAGTGATGCATTCTGATCCTACTCAAATGTTGTTGTTTTTTTTCTCTTATCTACAAATATAAATCAAAAAGAAGAAAGAAAGAAAAAGTTTTAAAAATGGGGCACCTGGTGGCCTGAGGGTCGAAGATGCTAATCTGGTCAATTGAGAAAAACTTGTCTGGATATGAAATAATTTGACAGTTTTACTAAAACCAAAGGGAAACTACTTTCAATGTCTTTTGGTTTGCACTTTGTGACCTCTCTTTTTTTGGACCGTAACTCATTCCATCAGGAGCCAGTGTGTCTCTGCAGCCTGGGATTCTGTTTATGTTGACATTTGCAATATCCATGATGGTTAGGAAGCTTTGGGAATGACATGATGTTGATTTCATTTAGTTCATTTTTCTGTGTGCAGCGTAAACGGACAGCGTAGCCATTCCCCGCTGTGCATTGTAGGTGACAAATTAAGGTTTTGTTTGTGACTGTTTATGGCCTGGTGGGAGTATGTGGCACTAAATATATACATAGAATCTCATCATTAACCGCTGTCAGCAGCTGCTCTGGCTGGCTATTTTAAGCACTCTGATGTGTAATGTCAGAAGAGGTAATGCACTGAGCAGCATGATGTTTTTTAACACTACAAGCTTCACCTGCCCAATTCCTTCACACATGTTTGCACACAAACCTTTGGTCTTGGGACCAAGAGGGGTATGTCCCAACAAGCATGCCCAGGCCATAATGACCACTCTCCAGGGGCTCCGTCCACTTTCAGCCCCGGTTGAATGAAGCAGTCAGCAGGCCAAAGCCATAGTGAATAGCGCTTGAAAGTAGGTCAGACTTGTTCATACTGCTGAAACTGTGCCGAATGGTTTTTTAAATATAGAATTAATTTCACCGACTATTGGACCCATCAGCCTAATATTTTATATTTATGATTGTATGCTCAAGGACCTTTGGTGGTTGTGGTGATTCTCAATTTTTTAACAACCTATTTTATTGACTGCTCTGTTTTACGCCGCCACTGACTGCTGACTCCTCACACCTCTTAACCAGCTGGTAGGGGCCACAAGTGATCAACAACTGCTTCAGTCTGGAATCTTGTTCCTGCTGGTGGATTCTTTAGTTGGCATTTTCACTGTGGCACACACTGATAATGTAACCTGTTTATTGTCTCAGCCTCATTCCACTATACGCATGCATACATACTGGACACACATGCCCCCAGTCCACGATATTATGGCATGGCTTATAAATAGCACACCACTTTTAAGGACATTTCGGTGTCTTGTCTACACATTTTAAGCTTTTCGTGTGCCATTTAGAGACGATGAGAGTTTTGGATGTGCAGGAAAGGATACTGAGGTGACCTTTGAGTTCGTAATTATGATAACAAAAGTCAGGTGACCTTTAATAGAACATCAAAAAGGATAAGATCGGTTTGGGTAAAAATAATTGCATCTCCTGGTGATGATCTGCAACAAACTGAGTGCACTCTCCTTGTTCTGTTTTCCTTTTTACCTTGTTTCAGGTTTTTTGTTTTTGTATTTCTGGGTTTGTGTTCTGTAGTTAAATTTGCTACATTTGTGTGGTGATGAAAATGACCAGCATTTTAATGTAAAATGGTGAGTTTAGAACTGCTTGCTTCCTTTAATAATGTGTTCCTGTTTTTCAATATTACCTCATTAGAGAAAGTGTTTCAGTTAACCTGACAGCCAATATTATAACACTTATTAGTCTTGTGCACAGAACCTTTAGGCTCGAAATGAATTCCTGCAATCCAGACTATAACACACTTTATTAAAACCTCCTGCTTTTATGTGCCCAGATAAACAGTAAGCATACAGTACAGTATATGGCTGCAACTAATGACTCTTTTCAACAATTAGCTGTTTGGTCATCAAGTAGTAAAAAAATGCCATTTCAGATTTCATGAAGCCCAAGATGATTTCATCAAGTTGCCCCAGGAATAAAACAATATCTACAGATTTTCTCTTACTATCACAGGACAAAGAAAAGCAGCAAATCCTCACAAAAGAGATGCATGAAAAATGTGTTTTGCTTACAGTTGCTTCACTTGAACCTTTGTCCTTTAAGTTAGTTTAAATTATTTCATGTCACAAATGACTGAAAAACCCCAAATGTGACTGTCCACAGCCAATATTGTTCACAAAAGAACAATATTAAAGTGGGTTTATATTTACTGCCCTCTACTCCACATGTTGTCCTCTAAACAACATATCCACTGCCCGTCTGTGCTACTTTGGCAATCATTACACATTTACACCCAAAGCAGGATGTCCTGTTCATGATACGCCATACTGAGGCATGCTAATTCTCTAGCTGACAGCTCTGACTGGTCATCAAGGCTCAGCTAATTTGTCAGTGAGATTTTTCTTTCTTTGGAAACACAGGCTCTCACCACTCTGACACCAGCTGATGGGGTGTTCTCTACAACTTGTGTGTGCCAATAGTTGTTGTTACACGGGTTAGTGATGTTAAGGTAGATCAAATGCTGTCACAAGACACTGCCACATGACGATCCACTGATAGCACAGTGTCATATGTTTGTAATATTTTGAATGTCATAGTCATTTATTCGTCTTTCTGTTCTTTCTGCATGTTGTATAAACACAAGTAGAGTTAGAGGATTCAAGCTAAAACCACATTCATTAAGAAAATATAAAAAAGATTTGATGCTGAAATCTGTTATTTAAAAAACCCTTGCCCATCATCACTACACATACTGACACATACAGGGACTTTATTAACAGCTAGTAATTTGATTTAACTTCATGGTAGAATTAATTCTGCATGTTGAAAACAGTAAAAACCTGATATGCTATTCCTCTAGAAGTCTAGAGTATTGCTATACCAGTCATGATGGGATTTTGTGAAATTAATTTGAACCATGATCACAAAAAGAAGTACTTAACCAATACAGCAAATAACAAAAAAGTTGTAAAGAATATTGTTGCCTATGTTCAGTGTTGGTCGTTTTGTTGCCTGTTTAATGGTGTTGAGTGTTACTTATTATGTTGCCTATATTTAAATATGTTCAATGTTAGTCATCTATTTAAGCAAATTCTTGGTATTTTAAAAAACAAAATATATACTGATAATGAAAGAGCCCGACTATTTTGGGGGCGGAAATGTACACCTATACATTTGTTATGCAATGTCTTATAACCTTTGGCTGCACATCTTAAATAGCCATAGTGTAGCAACTCACAGCATGACAACATGGCAGAACACAGTAGGGGTCCTGGCAGACCAGAGTAATGCACAGATCATATACACTGGATCGAAATTAGCCCCAATACTTACGTAATGAAACGGAGAGGGAGTCCTGGCCACATGTAGCTGAACCACAATGAATAATATGTTTTAGTCACTGAAGGAATATAACTATAGCAACACAATTTAAATTAAAAAAATACAGTTCAAATGTATTAAAAAAAATATAAAATACAAAAAGTATGTTGATGAACAGTATGTCTGTTTCTGTAGTTGTAGTTGATGTTGCACACTGAGGAATAATTGTAATTAGTTTCACTTAGCATAGATCATAGGTTGATATCAGCCCACTTCCCATAGCAGAAGTCCTGAAATCAATGTCAGAAAGTATTTTAGGACTATATGCATCTCTGTCATGTTGGTTCAGTATAGTACATTTCTTCTCTCTATCTTTTTCTGTTCCAGGTGCCAACCAAGTTTCGCCTTCAAAGAAGCCTCGCAGTAGAGGCCTTCTCCACAGTCTCTTCTGCTGTCTATGTCACAAAGAATCAGAGCCACCTCGACTAAAAAACAATGCCCCCCTCTTGGTAGAAGAAAATGGGACTCTGTCAAAAGTAAGTTTATCTCTCAACATCCTTCTCACACTCTTTCTTGTGATATTAACTTCCTCCCACCCTCCGTCTTTAGCATCCTTTAGCAGCATGTGGTCAGCATGATTGACAGCCGTGTGATGCATAAAACGCATGTTTTCTTGGCTCGGAGCTTTTGGTGTTTACAAGAGTATCTCCCCTGGGCTGGGAAGTAATGTATAGCAGTGTTGAAAAGTACTCTATGTTCAGATATCAATCAAGACGACTTGGAGTCACAAGAAGGGGATGGAAATGGTGTAAATGTTACATAGATGGACTGACTGGAAGATCGCTGCATTGCAAAAATCCAAGAACAGCTACTGTAGATGCCAGGAGGCATACACTATACACTCTGAGGGAGAGGCCCTTTGGCTTACAGCGTAAAAATATAAAACAGTTTAGTATCAGGAAAAAGTAAGCGCATATCTCTTAATTTCTTAACCTCTGCTGGATTCATAAGGGTTTATTATAGAAACTTGTAATTGATAAATTATTAACTAATGCATTAATTAATAAATAGAGAATTTCTGGGTAAAACTTGTGAATGGTGCTTGATAGTTCCACCGTCATTGGTGGACAATTGACAACACTACCTATGGTTAAACTGAGCATATTCTTGGAAAACAACATGACTTTTGGCAGTTATGGTCTGAAGATCAAGTGGTAAAGACGTTCTCAGGTGTCAGTTTCAGATTATTGCCTTAGTTCAGCCTTTTATAGAGATTTGATATTCCAGAAGTTATTTGTCACGTCTTTCCAAGCCCCCAAAATAAATTGCTTGGTCTCTGGCAAAGGGGGGGGTCGAGTCAAGTGGTAGGCTCAGTTTTGGTTGTGACAACCTGTCATGTCAACGTGCATGCTGCTCCTGTTGCTGTTACTCTCTTGGGCGGGCTGTGGTCTCAGTGACTCCCCCCACCAGCCATGTGAATATTCACTATGAATGGACCCTACAGTTACCTGCCAGTCATTTGGACTTGGACTCTGCAGGATCTGGAACCAATGCATGGAGTAAAAACTTTCAACAAACAAAGTCCAGACTGAGAAATAATTTCCTGATGTATCTGGAAAACTCTGAGCAGAGCAAAGTCTCTGGGGAAAGGGAGCCGTCTACTGAAGTCATGCTTGCTGAACAATGCCAGGTTCCCAAATTAACAGAAGCTGCAGGTTTCACCAGCCCTTCAAAGGGAAGTGCTGAACTTGGCATAGAGGTGCTTGTGGAATATACTGAGAAGACTGTTGTCAGCAGAGAAATTAACCCTTCTATTCTTTGTGTGGAACACTGCAACATGAATAGAGATGAGACTGAATCCTGCACATACTGCAATGGACACTCTGAGAACTTTGAGCAATACTCAGCAAGTGAAGGATTTTTTGAATCCGACCAGACCGTTGATAAGTGTGAGACTTCTGGGTTAAGCCAACCACTCGACGAATGTGCTCAACACTGTGAGTGTTTTAAACCTTGCAAGTCCTCTGAGCACTGTGCTAATCATAGCTTAGCTTCCAAATGTAGTCCTTGCTGTGAACATTGTGCGGAACACCTCCAATTATTTCAGCAATGTAAGCCCTCTGATCAGCAGTTTGACTTTGAGCCGGATAAATTGGCAGTGAACTGTGACAGTTTTGCGCAGTGTGAAATGTCTGATTTCATACCTGAGTGCTCAGACGACCTCAGGTTGTTGCAACAATACAAGCCTTCTGATCAGCAGTGTGAGTTCTTTGACTCTGAGCCAGACACATCAACAGAGGACTTTGAGCAATGTGAAATGACTGGTTTCACACATAACATCTCTGATTCAGAGGACTTACTGGACTGTGGCACTGAACTTTGTGAGTATGATGAAATTCAGAATCAAACTGATGACAGTGAAGACAACTATCCACCTGAACAAGAGGACGAGCAACATGAAACAGAGCCTATTGGTGAAGAGTCCTACAGATTGTCAGAGGGTGTAAATTCATCACATTTTGGCGCACCTGCTCATGTTTATTTTGATGATAGTGAAGATGTCTCCTTTGCAAGTGAAAGCTGTGAGACACCCCAGCTCACTGAAGAAAGCTATCAGCAAGCTAACATATCCACAGATTACTGTGAAACTGTGTGTGGAACTGATTACCCTGAAGCAAGCCAAGAGTATGAACCAACTCAACAATGTGGTATTTCAGAGCAGTGCAACTCTGACGAAACGTCAGAGTTTTGCACTGAAGAAGACGGCTCTTCAGACTGCTCTTCTATTGAAACCAAATCCTTTAAGACTTGTCCTGATGACAGTATTCCTTCAGATCCCTTCTCTGATTCATCTGGGGAATCTGAAAAAGGAGCTCAGGAAGATTCAAGTGATGAGCAGACACAGTGGGAATCGTTTGAAGATGATGAAGAAACAGAGCAAAGCACTATTAATGAAAGTCATGAGGATAAAAAGAAAACGCCTACTGTTGATGTTGTCATTGAGGATTACTTTGATTTATTTGACAGAGCTGACTATAACGGACACGCATTTTCACAAAAGCGGCGTTACATCTCCTGCTTCGATGGGGGAGATATCCATGACAGCCTGTATCTTGAAGAAGTTCATTCAGAGGCACAGAAACTTGCCAACAATGCCTACAAATATAAAGACATTAAAGAGGAAATTGACATACAGGAAACTGAAACATGTTTTGATGCCTCTGAAGAAGCCTGTGAAGATACTGATGAGGAAGACGCAAGTCCGAGAGATGATACCTCCTCTGGGTCCTGTGAGTCAGAGAAACAATATGAAGACTGGACTGTAGAGTCACAGTCAAGTTTAGATGAGGACGAAGTTGAAGAAAATGAATCTGAAGCCTATGCATTTTATGCAGAAGATTGTGAGGAAGCAGAGGAGAAGGAGGATGCTTTTGAGAGAGAAGCCTGTGAGTTTGTTTCTGAAATCTGTGATGAAGAAGAAGCTAAAGTCTGCCTGACGTCTAGTAATGGGGAGAGTATGTATGCGCCATGTGCAGATGACATCTCTGTTGAAGGAGATGCTTATGAAGATAAAGTCTCTGATACTCTTGGTGGCAATACCTCTATGGTTGGTCATTTACAGACAACTCTTACTGATTGCAAAAAGGAGGACAAAGATGAGCCTGAGCCTGAAAACAAAGTATTTACTGCATGTTCAGAAATTGAGCCATATTTTTGCCTTGTAGATCATGAGGAAAAGGAGTTGTGTGAGCAAAGCGTTGAAGAATACTATGCATATCAGATTAAAAGCATTCAGTCATCTGTGAAACAAGCCCTGAATGGATTTATTATGGGAGGAAGATCGTACGATCAGATAATCCATGGAAAAGCTAACGGGGATGCTTGTGGGAATGAAAGAGAAGATGCTCTTTTATCCCCGGAAGAGACTGAGTTACAGGAACATGCCCAGAGGAGCCCAGAGGAGGGCAAGGCAGTCCGATTTGGAATTACTGAAGTTATTGACCTGAGTGAGAATTTAACCTGCTGTTCTGCTGTGGAAAAAACAACCAATGAACAAACTGCGGAATCAGACGATGACTGTGGATTCAGTGAAATTTCAAGAGAAATAAAACCTCCTTTAGATATTATTCACAGCGTTGTCCCAGAAATTGCAAAAAATGAGAGAAGGGATTCACACAACCAGGACTCCGAACAAAGCAGGGATTCAGAAGAGGAGCAGAGTGATGATGAATCCTCTGAGCCTTGTGAATGCGAGTACTGCATTCCACCACTAGAGCAGGTATTACACGTCTTTGCACCTCAGCTGAGAAGTATTTGAGTAGATTAAATTAAGTTTTTGGAACTGTGGGAGAAACTTTGAATTACCCCAGAATCAATATTATATCGGTCTATTTTTATATCATTAAGACAGTACTGCCAACTACGTTACAGGAGATCCCAACTTGGCAGATTGTGTGGTATCTGTGTCAAACTCTTGCTCTGCCATTATCCTCACATGGTGGCAGTTCACTCAACACGGACAAACACATGCATCAGGGTTACAGGCAGCCTGTTTGTTCATTCCAGCTTGTTTATAGCATCAGAATCGCAAAAACAAACACCGATCCCTGACCACTTGTTGAATGATGGAGTGCAATATGGTGATATTTACATGCTCCATCATCATGGCAGCAGCTGTAGCATCCAAGGTTTCCTGTAACCTGTCACTGAAACACTACAACACAATTCAGTCTCTTAAGTAACAGTAAACACACTCACACACAATGAGCTGCAAGTCCTACACGACAAATCGAGATGGTAATTTCTCATGTTAAAGGTAATAAAAGCTGTTTAATTAGGAGCATTTGCAATAAATGAGCTTTAGGTCTTAACTCTCCTTTCGTCCACAGGTTCCAGCCAAACCGTTGCTCCCACGGATGAAATCGAATGATGCAGGGAAGATCTGTGTTGTCATTGATTTGGATGAAACACTAGTGCATAGTTCATTTAAGGTAAGTTGACCTATGTGACTTGCTTTCTCAGTCCTATTATATTCTGAGATTATTGACAGATTAATAATCACAGACAGACATCATTAAATACGGTATACTTCAAAAGAGGCAATTTAAGTGTCAGTTTATCTAAAATAAAAGTAAATAAATCATTTTCCTTTCAGTGGGAGTGCTGTCTACCTAATATTTTAAAGGGACCTTGTGTTGAATATGGATGTGGTTATAGCACCATTCAGTTGTTCACATTGACAGTACTGGTGGAAATATCTGCAAGTTGTGTGTTGCTTTCAGTCCATTCATCTCAACAGGAATTTCTTGTTATGAAAGCCAATAATGATTACAAATTAGTATGTATGACCATTTTTATAGAGTTTACCTGAGATTGGATGGACACCGCTGTGGTAGTCATTTGCAAAATGAACATCATGCTATATTAAAGAAAATTTAAACTAGCATTTGAGACTATAAACTCTTTAGGAAACTATTTACTGAGGTAA